AGTTGGGATTAACCCATATCCAATAATCTGTTTCTAAGAAAATATATAATTTTTATAATTATTGATATTTGTTTAAAAATATCGATTTGGCAGAATGACTGTTATTGACTTAGAATTACAATAATTTACTACTAACCTAACTCAAAATCAAACTAGCAAGCTTAATTTTGCTGCAACCGTCCTAATTTGTAGTCAGTTGCAAGTTATAAGTGAAATTTTGCCAAGTAAAGTTGCATAAACTTATCGATAATAATAATCAATTTGATCAATAAAAATTGAGGCTTAGCAATAGTTTAGCATTTTGATGCAGCACATTATTCCAAACGTAGACATGACGTAGGCCTATAATAATTGAGGATTGTTGTTAAAACCATGAGTTTCATAATAATACAAAGCTTCATCAAAATAGACAACATTTGTTAGCAAATACCAAGAATTTACCAGTCCATTCAGCAGATTCGCAACTGATATCTTTCAAACGGTTTGAAATTTTCAAAATCGATTCTACTAATTCTAAAGAAACGGCTCGAACGATCATCGTGAAAGATAATCAACAGAGTCCTCATTGAGTTACATCTAATGGCTTATACATTTTTGAAATAGGTGTAACTGTTTTTCACAAAACGTCGAAGATTATAAAATTAGCAGATAGGATTTCTGACGAAAACAAACTTCTCTCGGAGAAAGTTAAAAATGTAGGTTGCTACTATTATAGGTCTCATATATTATTACTATACATTATTATATTAGAAAACTATATTATGGACTTTTCAATATTAATAATAATTATAATAAACTGTAAAACGATTTTTTATGTGTATATAATATGCATAGATGGCAAATAATATATTTTGAAGAAGCATTGACTAAAAAATAATTTTTTAATATAAATTTCATAAAAAGTTTGAAAATTTTAAATATTAAGAAAATCTCTATAAAATCTATAATAAATCTATTTCTGATTGCTTGTTAATTATTTTATAAGCAAATATTTTGATATAAATTCTTCAAATGTACAAAAATTGATTGAGAAAATCTTTATAAAATTTATATTAGGTATATTTCTAATTTGTCTTGTTGATGACATAAAAAAATATCAAATTTAAGTCGTATGAAACCTAATCATAAAATTATTTTGCGTATTAATAATATTCAAAATTATAAAATTTTAGCTATATAAGTCTTCTACATTTACAATAGACTCTTTCAAGCTCATAATAATCAGTTTATTTGTAAATCTTAATACCATTTATCCCCCAAAGAATATAGCAGTAAAAACTCCTTTTACAAGGACCACATATTATTATCGAAATTAGTCTCTCCGGTAAGTTTAGATAATGCATATTTTTGCTGTATAGAGAAACATTTCTTTTATAGATCTTATACGAGAGCAATGCAAACAATCCTCGCATATTAGGTAAAATATCATCAAACAACTATAGTTCAACATTATTCGACTGTTGCGATTCTTAATCGATAATCATTTTATTTAGGGATGATCAAAATTTATGAAAATTTTATTTTTATTCTTTTTTCATAAATATAAATTTAAAACTGATAAATTTATTTTCTATATATTTAACTTATAAATATTTCTAAATATTTAATATTTTTGTCATACCTGTTTATATGTGCTTATTCAAATAATCATTTTCCGCATTTATACTATCAATTTCGGTACTCATCGGTCGCCACTGCTTCACAGAGACGAATTTCCGTTTCCTACAAACACACAAATAATATTAATGAAAAACATAATAATTTGTGTGTAAAATTTCTTTTCGTATTCAAGTGACATTTTATATGTATCTTTTGAACATGTTTTATGTGGATACCCGAGATAAAAAGACAAACCTATTGCATAACAAGTAAATAATATGAACTTCTTACTTGTAAGGTTAACACCGTTTATTTGATATAGAGGAGTGATTTTTATGAAATGTTCAATATTTTTATGAACACACAAAATTTCAACAACAAAATTATTATGTTCACAAATTGGACAATATTTTTAACAGCTTTAAAACTTAATTTTATACATCAAACAAACTATTTTAATTTTTTTATTTTAATCGAAAATTTAAAATGTTTGCTTTTTATGTAACTAATGTTTCCAATATAAATTACTAATATAAAATAATTTTAACTTCAAGTAATGTTGAAATATTTTTGATTAAAAAATATAAAAAAAATCCAAGCATTTCCAATTGTCCAGAATTTTTTTTTCTAAATATTTCTAGCAGATTTCTTAACACAAGATATGCTATACATGCTTTCGTAGAGTAAAAATACAATTATGATTTCAACTTACATTTTTCAAAGATTTTCAAAATCACAAAATTATGCTGACGAGATTATTTGTTTAATATTTACACACAAATATTATCACAAAATATAACATATATACAAAATAAATTACTAATTATAGAAATGTGTTTTTTACTGTTTTTCTAAAAATTGTCATCTATCCCTTCTTACCTATGGGGTAAAATAAACCGCCAGGGGGAAACAGATTCAATGGTTTATTTTTAATTTAAATAGGATTTTACGAAGCTACATTATTCAACCAATGCAAAATATAAATTTTATGGCTACATTTTTAACGGAGATTTTGAGAATCTGGTATTTAATCAGAAATATTCATCAACAGAGTTGGAAAAATTAATTATTTAATTTATCTCTTGTAAATATTTTTAACTTAATTTATTTTATCATTTTTCACGCCTTTGTCAGAATAAAGGTTCAATTGGTCTTTTTTACACCACCCAGGTTGTTAGATTTTATAGAAGTTATATAAATAAAACTATTGAATCTAACTTAAAACTAACGATAAATCTTAGAAAACAATAGAGAGACGTTAAAAAATTAAAAATTATATTAAAGTCCCGCAAACTAAACAACAGTGGTCACAACCAAAACAAATAATAATGAAAGAAAATACTTTTGTTGTGGATTTTCAAACATTGGCGTTTTCTCCCGATAGCAACGTCGTAAGAATCAAGGGGGTAGCTGGTTATACATATTTTCCCTCTACTGTGAAATATTGTTGTTAAATTTTTTTTAACTTTACTGGTTTTTGAAATATCGATGATACCTTTAAGCCCTGCTCTACCCTATGCTTTATAAATTTTAGTGGCGTTTTATACTATATCTTTAAGCTTAAACAAAAATAGATTTAAAAAGAAAAACAATAAAGATAGTAAATAGAAAAAAAATATAGAAAATTGGACTTGAAAATAGAATATCTTAATAAAAATCTTCACTTACACTTTAAAAAGTGATAATAGATAGAATAGATTGTCAACAGTATTGTCGTCTGAATTCTTACAAAAAAGATGATTAATATATTTGTATGTTTGCGTCCATAAATAAGCATGTCACATTATAGTTTTATATTTTTATTAAAATATTTTTTAATCATTTTACTTTAAAAAAAAAACGAAACACGCACACGAGTTGAATATATCATAGAGCTGTATAGTCAAAAACGTTGGGTCATCGTTTACCAGTATGCTCGACTACAATCGAAGACGGGATGAAAAACCCAACATTTATTAAAGTATATATAAAGCAAGCCGTCTCCTGTCTGACCACAACAGTGTCATCATATGTTTGCAAGTATGCGCGTCGCTAATTCGGCTGTTATATTGCTGATTGCTTTCAGCTTTACGGGGGCACTATCGGAGGAAAGTGCATCGGATAATGTTCCCGATGTTATCGATTCAGACACTCTGACAACAGGAATATCAGAAGGATCGACGGAAAAAGACGATGACAAACCGATCGGTGTGATCTATCTGTTCAATCTTTTCAAAATTCCAAGGACGAATCCTGAACAGGATGTCTTAAAAGAGGACAATAACATTGAAACTGGTGAACAAGACGAAAAGAATTTCAGAAATGTTTTGGTTATTGAAGCTATTCCCATTAGAGGTCCTTTGATTTCAGAAGATGTCACGCCGAACAACGAAGATGAGACGGTTGCTAAGGTAGGATTGTACAAAGATATTTCATTAGTGAAAAACCACAGAGTGTGATTTTTTCATGAAATTAACATTTGAATGTTATTTACTTATTTTATCAAATCGCCTAAATGTCTATGACATCAACAATCAATATTCAATTTTAATCCTCCGTCGGTCGGATATTTATTCACCTTCGAACGGTCGGAGTGATCTGGCTGAACCACCATTCATTTTACATGCATTTATATGAGATAAATAAGTTTTTGGTGTCTAATATATTAACGATTATTAGTAATAAATATTTATAGTTTTGATTTTTTCTTTTTCTTACCATCTTTTGCATGTGTAGAGCTCTCTTATAATAAACATATTATATTATATAAAAAAATCAAGGAATATCAAAAATCGTTGCTTTTTTGTTAATTTTTCTGTTTTATATCAATGAAAAACAATATTTATTCTTTTTCGGCGCCTTCGAAATGAATTTGAAATTCAAATGAAAACGAAATGAGGTGCGTCGCCTTTGAAATGAGCTGTAAAATTCAAGTTGAAAATATAATTTCACTACAGATTTGCCAAAAAAAATTTCGAACGCAGTACGGGTAGAAAAATTGTTGATAATGTGCGCATTACTTATCCGATTTTCAATGTTTGCGATGACCAATAGGTTTGGTAGGTCTTCAAGGAACTCTCGTGAAAATACTAACATTCATGTTACAACAACAAAGAATATATAAAACGCAGTATGAATAGAAAATACCAGAAAAAAGACAAAATACTGGTTTACATATATCAAAAAGCGTATATTTCATACAAAATATATGGGTGGTCTAGACAAACCACTCCGACCGTTCGAAGTATAAAATAGTTAATATCCTTATAATTATCCTTCTGTGCATTTTTTCGTCCTGATTTTTTCATTGATCGACAGCTAATGAAATTTTAGTAAAAGTCAAATTTCAAGTCGATAGGTTTACTAGAAGTATTTTTTTTTTTTAAATTGAAGTCAAAAAAAGTCTGGCCCCCGACCGACGGAGGGTTAACAATATACTTGAAATCGTTCGATAGCAGCCTTTTGAAGTGATTTTCGTGTTCTTGCAAATTTATAGTAGTAAATTCATAATGAAATTATCCGTCATGAATCTGACCTGCAATAGTCACACTTTCTTCCTAGGATTGAAAGCAAAGTTGATTTGGCTACCGTTTACATATTTTCGATGACACACCATGGGTGATCCTTCAATATGGTGCATATGGTCGTCGATAGTCAAATCATTTTTCATTATAAAGCATTTCATTTATCATAATAATGCATCTACATAACTGAACTTAATATCATGATTGTAATCACATTCAATTGTGATTTAAATGTTAAATAATAATTTTAAAATTGTTTTGCGGTATCAATATTCTATTGTCATTTCTCTACTTCTAAAGTTTTGAATCTATTTGGTTTCCGTCAATATTTTTAGATCAATTTGCAGAAAATAAAGATTTTTTGCGCTCTTGATCTGGGGTTTACCAGAGATTAAGGAAGTTGAGTTTATGTTGCGTCATTTTTTTTCGTTTCATATAAATTACTATACTTTTTACTATATAAACATGAATAAAACAAAACGTGTAAAGGAAAAACATGATTATAAATATTAAAGTATATTTATTATGCACGTCTGCACGTACATTGTAAATATTTTGCAATTTGCATAATAGATGTAATAGCGATATTTACAATTTTCTCGCATTTCAAACTAGAAGTACTACTTATAACGATTATTTTCGTTCAAAAAGTAGCATTTCATTCGATATGATATATACTTTTATTATTGATATTTACAAGTTGCTGTTTTACCGACAAGGTATAAAATGTTAGTTCATTTATCATGAAGATGACCAATAACTCGATCTCAAGTGCTTGTCGCTATTGTGTATTAGGCATTATATTTTCATATTTATTGTTGTGGTTTTATTCTATTTATTTGTTTAGTTATTTACTTGTGAATCCTTTCAATTATGCCATCATCTTGCAACAACAACAACCAGTTACACACTTGGCATTAACTTTCCGCTATTAAATTAAAATATTAATATCATTAGTGTCGATCGCACCATATTTAAAAATAAGTAGAATAATATTTCTGAATAGAATGATATATTATAGGTATTCGTTTGCCAAAGCGTTTTAACGAAGTCGTTTTTTGTTCATTGTCAAACCGAAAGATTTAAACAGAAATTTAGGTGATGAAAGATACATTGACTGCTGCCAACGGAAGCCATTTGTATCACAACTGTCTAATTCAAATAATATCATATTTGCATTTGTTATTACAAAAAATCCTGAAATTAATGAACTTAATTAACGCATAAAAATATAATTCTTTGAAAGAATCTATTTTCCTATGACAGTATCTTACTACTTTCTAATTCGTAAAATGCATTAGCATTAGCATATTGTGTATTAAATTAATTAAATAATATGCACAATTGTTTATAATGTTTGCAATCATCATTTGACTTGTAAATACAAATACCAAACATTCTGAATAATCTTTATGCCGAACACTATATAAAATCTAATCACTAATATTCAACGTTAAATATTCAACATTAGATATATCTTATTAGTATACTAATCAGTTTTTGCATTTAAATTTATTTGATATCATCATACAACTAATAAGTTGACCCTCAATCTTGTTTGTTTTTGGTAATGTGTAAATTAGCAATTCAAATTTATGATATCATAAAAAATTGCAAAAATAATACAATCATATAAATGTATATAATACATTTATTTATCTATAAATATCTGGAAAATTTCAAGCTTTTAAATAAATATTATATCATAAACAAAAGATGATTCATGAGTCGATTTTATACGGTATATATATATATATATATATATATATATATAATATAGGTTAGAGCGGGGCTTAAAAGTCCGTGGGTAAAAAGGTCTACCACCGATCTAAAAAACCAGTAGAGTTAGGGATTTTTTAACAACAATATTTGAAAGTAGATGGCAAAATGTGGATAGTTCTTGATTCTTATGACGTTGCCCAATTTGCAAATTGATAACAGAAGTATTTTCTTTCGTTATTAGTTTCTTTGGTCGTGAGTTTAGTTTACGAGACCTCATTGTAATTTTAAAGTATATGTTATTTAATTGTTTTGTTAGATATATTGTTATTTTTAAATTAAATTCAACAGCTCTTCTATATAACTTGTATAAAGGCTTACATATGGGTGGAGTAAAACGGACTAATTGAACCTTTACCCTGGTAAAGGTGTATTATACATTAAAAATAGTAAATAAAAAAGTTAATTTAGTTAATAAGGGCAATTTTACAAAAAATAAATTAAATTAATAGTTATTCTAACTCTGCTGATGAATATTTCTAACAAAATACCAGATTAGGGTTATATGATATTATCTTTGTCAGAAATATGTCTATAAAATTTAAATTTTGCATTAGTTTAATATTGTAATTATTGTTTCGTAAAATCTATTTAAAATTAAAAATGAAACATTGGATCTGTTTTCCCTCGGCTGTCCCATTTTACTAATTGTAAGTGTATGGGGTAAAGACAGATGATGAATTTCAGAAAAACTGTAAAAAAACACATTTCTATAACTGGGACTTAACTGGGAATTTTATTAAACATAGTTCGACACTTGCTTGTTTGATATGCGTTATGGGTTGTGATATAGTTCAATTGCTTTAGCCAGTATAAATACTTAAAGTCAAACTGGACCTTTATTTTCCAAATGGTGTAGGTAGCTTCATTCATAGGTAATTTCCCCAAGAACGAATCTCAGCGAACACAAAATTTGTAAATATTTCTGAAAATTAAATTAATACATCAAATATAAAAAGAATCACAGTTCTTTCATACAACTGCTAACAGAACAGAACACTCAGAATTATACATGTAGTTTAAAAGAAGTTATATGAATATATGAAGTCTTAGGTGATCTCTCAGTTTGGGACCGCGATACTAGAGTATAGCGAATGGAAGTCATCGCTCCAAACTGGAAAGTAATAACCCTTTCATGTCACAAAAGTTGTAAATTAGAACATAAAAAAATATGGGAATGTAATTAGAAAACAATATACACCACATTTTCAAAACTTGGCTATATACATTTTTGCAAACGTGCAAACATACACACACACATATATATTAGGGTTGTCCTTAATATGGACATTTTCGAATTTCCTTGCTCCCACGAGCTCAAATGGTTCCAAATTGATAAAAAACAATTCTCTGAAAGTTTTAGCTCTATTAACTCTTAGATAGTGCGCAATTCAATCAAACTTCGTATGAAAATAGAATGAAAAAAAATTTGAAAATTAAAAAAATTTTTTTTAGGTATAACTTAGCGACAAATAAATTAAAAGTGAAAATTCGTGTCATTTTTTATTGAAAATTCGACGCTCTGCAAAATTTTTGAAAATTTTTACATGTTATTTTCATACAAATCTTTGATTGAATTGCGCTCATCTAAAAGACAATATTAAGAGCTCAAACTTTCAGAGAATTGTTTTTTATCAATTTGGAACCATTTGAGCTCTTGTGAGCAAGAAAATTCGAAAATGTCCATATTAAGGACCACCGTAATATATATATATATATATATATATATATATATATATATATATTGATGAGTTATTTAGAATCGAGCAGTATATATATATATATATATATATATATATGCGTATATGTATGTGTATTATTTATATTTAAAAAATGCTGTCATCCATGAATTACGCACAGTAATTATCACTAATATAGAATGCGGTAGTCATTACTAATAACAACAGAATATTCTTTATATGGCGCGATAAAAGCGTAGCATATTTCCCTCTTTTTCTATTTATTGATTTAAATTCAAATATGTGGTTGTATATGGTTTTATTAAATATTTATAATAAATGTATGAAAAAACTTTTCTTTGTTTCAAAACCATTATCGAATCAAAATAATGTGAAACAAAAAACTATATACGAGCGGTTCAGCGAAAATTCAGTTACACAAATATATATATATACATATATATATATATATATATATATATATATATATACATATATATTAGGTTGTCAAATATCTCCCTCCGCCTTTTTGTATTATAAACCAAGAGCAAAAAAGCAGAAGGGAGATATTTGACAACCTAAAAGACCTTGGATCGTATATGCGTTAATATTTTAGAGAGCTAATAATGTTGATGTAAGTCTTTTCGGAACTAAAAAGCCGCTTTTCCTTTAAATAGTTTTTAATGTTTGTTTTTACGTGTTTCGAGTTTCGGGAATGCGGGATGTCCCCTTCTTCAGGAGCATGTACAGATTGATTCATCCAATAAGCGCGCCAATCAATAAGTTTGAACAAATAACTCTCTAAAAAATAACTTACCAAGACCATCAATAGCATATACGATCCAAGGTCATGATCACGGTTGTATCAATTGTATATATTTTTTTATAATTAATTAAAATGTATGCGACGTCTATATGATGTATTACCGCTGCGACGTTGTAATGGCCGCATAACCGGTTTTATAAATTTGTGTTCACAATAATCAACAAAGTATTACAGCAACATTTTACATTAACAAATACATTTATGTAAAATATAATATACATTACCATGGCAAAACTATTTTTAGATATTACATGCTGATATATTTTTGATCAGCTAGTCCATCCGGATTCTCTTGTGCCATCCGGATTTATCAAGGAAACTAAAAAGGATACATATTTTATATGAACGATAGACTCCCTCCTCCATTAGTGGTTAGAGCTATGAGCATTCAACAAGATGCTCTTGATTTGATACCCCGTCTCGAATAGCCGGATATCAAGCAGCATTGGCATCGGTTTTTTCTTGAAAATATAGATAGCAAAGTGTTTAGTAAAAACAGCCTCTACCCGGCTTTGCACCATCCAATAAAAAGTAATCTGTATTGGGGTTATTCTATGATAATAAATTCATCAAAAAGAGATTAGCTATTAGTCATCAACCACTCTTGCCTTCATTCCTTGAACTATAATGATAAAGTATATTTTTTCATGACAGTCTCAGAGCCCAGAAGCATCCGAGACGGAATCTGAAAATACTGAAATAAAGAACGAAGAAACTGATGTGATCACCGAAGATGTAAACGTGGACGCATCTACACCATTGCCATTATTAAGAGCAAAACGTCACCATTGCAAGAAGTGCGGAGGTGGTTACAGTGGTTACGGTGGCGGAGTACCATACGGCGGTGGCGGCTATAGCAACTACGGTAGCGGTTATGGCGGCGGATACAGTGTTCCGGGTAAGTTATCAATAAAATCAAATACATTTTTTATCAAGTTATAGCTAACTTAATTTTCAAAACAGTCGGTGTACGTGCACCTGCTTCTTTCAAATCTTTACAAGCTATATTTAGAAGTAATTAATAAATATAAACTTATAAAGCCATTCAAGTTATTCGGTCGAATACATTTTATTAATACGGTGGTACAACCTCACTAGTGACTCGTGATACGAGTTTTTCGAAATACGACCGGCCAAAGGAGCGGTTCGTCATATGAACAGAACTCGAGATAAGTGCGATTGAGAGCCATAACGTAAGCTTATGGGGGTGCGAATGAATAAGATTCATCTAATATAAATTGTAACAAACATTTTTGTATGTGAAGAGGTATTTAACTATTATACAAATATTTAAACTAAATAATTTTAGAGTTAGAAATTTTAATTCAATATTATTAATGTTGTGTATTTGTTCGTGCAATGTGGGACAAAATTGAAAAGTTTGTGAATAAAAATCACCCCGAAAGAGATGTAACAGGTCGACTCATTTTTGCAATACCATAATAAGTTGAAAAAAAATAATGCTCATTAGATAGTTTTATAAACGCAGAAACTTGTATAATGATAATGTAGTCATTTTAAATTTAGTAATTCGCTATATTTTTGAAAACTATGTATTTGATCTATAAATAAATAACATTTCACGGAAAAAATTGCTTCGAGATACGAGCAATTCGACATGTGAGCGTGGTTACAAAACGATTTGAGCTCCTAAGGCGGGGTTGTACCAATATATATATATATATATATATATATATATATATATATATATATATATTTGTTAAACTTATATTAATATGATTGTAAATCGTTTTTTAAGCATATAAGTCCGGCCATGTTTATACATATCCATATGAAAACTAAACAAAATACAATTAAATATACAAATTATAATAATAAATAATTTACAGCTAAGATTGAGGTCTACAAAGTGGTTCCTGTGAGCACGGGCTATGTTGGGTACGGCGGTGGTGGCGGACAAGGATATGGTGGACATGGATATGGACACGGTGGCGGCGGCGGTGGATACCCAAGTATAAATACTCATCTTATTAATTTAATTCTATTATTTTACTTATACTTAGAAAGATTTTATTGATTTTTTATGTTAATAAATAACATTGCCCAGTTAATTTAATAATCTGCCAACTTAAAGTTAAATCTTCATTAAATTTATTAAAAATAACAAAAATATCATTGCCAAGAAGTAATAATAATTCAAATATAATACTGTTGAAAATGACCTATTTTCTTATACAACATGATGTATATTGCAGGTTATCCAAGTTATCCCTCTTATGGAGGTGGCGGTGGCGGTTGCAAGAGCGGTTGCGGCGGAGGTGGCGGCGGGTACGTTTAGTATAACATTATTACTTACTTAAAATTCAAAATATTTAAAAATAATTATATCCACACGATTCACATTTTATAAATTAAAAAAAATACCTATAATTGAAATATTAGGTGTTTTCGCAGTTTTATTAGATTTTGAATATGTTTAGAAAAAAGGATTACTTATGTAACATATACATTTCGTAAAGAGTCAACGATCAGGTTAGACTTCGACATGTGGAAATTGGCTGCTTTTATTACAATAAAGTCAAAATAATGAATTAAAGCCATTGAACCCTGAAGAAAATCTAAATGATGTTTTCGCAAGTTTAATTATACCACTCATTTAATTTATATGCAAACTATTATATTGTAGATATGAAATTACTTTGCGTTTGTTAATATTATCTCCGTTTATTATCCTCAAAGTCACAGAATAACTAAGAAAGGTATAAATTAATAAATTTTTACAAATGCCTTTCAGATATCCTGGAAACAGTTATGCAAGCAGTGGTTCTTACAGCCAGGCTTCAAGCAGTAGTTGGAGTAATGCTGGTTCTTCTGGATGGTATATAATCTAAAATTAATCAAATAAATTAATAACACAATTCATGTAAATATTAATTAATTAAATAATTTATTTTATTTTTAGGGGTAGATAAAACATCCAGCACAAGAAATCAAAAAGTTTAAATATTCATCTGATGTTGAAAATATTCTAAACGAACTGAAATAAGTTAAAGATTAGAGATGATGTTACTAGTTGTAATGATTTTGTTAATTAATTACTGTTTGTAATTCTGAATAATGTTTTTAATAAAGTTTAACAAAATTGATGTCGCTGTTTGAAATTTGATAGAAATAAACTTTAAATTAAAAAATGAATTATTGTGCCTCATTCTTATTGAAAGTTTCATATTTGTTTTCTACAAATACTTACATTTTCTATTTGACCAGCAACACTATTGCTGCGTAATGCATTATATATTAAAAATATGAAAAAAAGTAAAATAATAAGCGATAAAACCCAGTAGATAATTTTATACAATATTATTTAGAGTTTACTGTTCTGGAAAATAAGAAAGCAAATTAATCAAACATTAATTGTGAAGATTTCAAACCTGTGGAATATTAAAAATAGTAAAAAAATTTTTCGGCAGTTGATTACAAGAATGGACTAAAAATTATTTTATATTTTATTTTGATATAATGTTAATATAACTTTACGACATATTTTGAAATGACTTCTCAGTCTCATGTACTCACAAGTCTAATATATATGATGCATTAAAAAGTTGAGAACAAGTTAAATCATCCTAGTATATTCATTATATATATATATATATATATATATATATATATATCGTACGATTTTTGAAACAGAAATAAATTTATTACATGCAATGACAAACATTAATTATATTATAAAACATTATTGATCTACAAGTGAAACTGTTACCATTGACATTACTTAACAATTAATTAACACAATTTTAAGCTAACATGTTTTATCTAGCATATAGTTTAATATTTAACAAGTGTTAAAATTTTTCTGAATATGTAATAATAATGTATTTTTTCTTTAGTTTATTATCTATATACTTTGTAGCTTCACTAGATTCTTAATAATATATATTATTTATAATGTATAAACCGATAACAATCAATATCGTTCATTCATATTCTTTAAAATTCCATAAATTAAATAAAAAAATCTTCAACTTATAAAGCGTCTACAGATAATCAATTAATGTTTCAAAACTTTTTCTAAAGAGCCTATAAAGTATTTATAACATTGGTGCGGCACCCAAAAATCGTTACATTCAATATAATACAAACGTGACGTGCTTGTAACAATTATTCTTCTATGCATTTATTCTGAATTATTCTTCTAAGCTTATAAACTTATTTTTAAGCTCTAAAGACTGAAATGTTAAACAGAATCTAACAATAATTCAACAAAAATTCAACTTACGTTCATTTCTTAATTGAAAATTTCGTCTATTATCCTACTTAATCATTTATAATTTCTAGCAACATACTAATATTTGTTTATTTATGTGAAGACTCTACGACCTTATATATATTTATATATATTATTTAGAGATGATAAACTTCAATAATCTCTTTGATTTGATTTATCCATTGCATGAGCATACGGAATATTGTTCAGTTTTCTATTATTGTCTTAATTTGACTAATTGTTAATTTGTCTAAAAACCTATAACATAATATAGAGCAATAAACAATAATTTTAATGCATCCTGAAATAAAAAATTATCATGAAATTTCAAAATGCCGAAAATTGAAACATGGTATAAAGTCTAGAAAAAATCAAAGAAAATATTTCTTTTGTGTACGAATTAACGCACGATGGCAATAATTACAATAAAAGCGCATCGTAGACTTCATAAGAAAAGCTACGTTATTATTTACAAGGCATTTGTTGATTATTAATTTTAATAATGCAATATTTCGGAGAATTTAACAAAAATAATATTAATAACTAAACACGTCGAAGCAGAACGTGTTTTTACTTTTCGTAATTCGGAAAGAGCTTTATTTAAAATTAACAAAAATATATCAACAAGCTTTATTTAAAATTAACAAAAATATATCAACAAGTTTATTGATCCACTAGGGTATCATTAACAATTTAATTTTAGTCAACTTAATTTTATACGCAGGCTTTATAATCTCATTCAAAAATAATGCAAAATGATAGATATATAATTAAATGATACAGCTTTTTATACCAATACTATTTAAAGCAAAAATAGTTATAAAATATATATTTGATGAATCTTTCGAGTCCAAACTGGACTTTACAGGTCCTTTGAGCAACACAATCGAAATTCATTTTCATAGTTTTTTGAAAAATACTGATCATTCCATAGCAATTCAAGTAAGTGGAGAGTTACTTCTTCAGTTACTTATAATGAGTAAGTTAAATGTATTATTTTAAAATTAAAACGTATTCGAATAAAAAGTAAGGATTACATGAAAATAAACATTAATAATGCTAAACAAAACATGTACAAAACCAGCTTTATCTTGATCAACAGACGAACAATAAAAGTTATACTTAGATTACCTTATTCATATGTAGAAAACCACTTGTATCAACTCCATAAGTAACAAGTATTATCTTTGGAAGCGGTTATTATGGTGTCACCCATATAGTTGAACGCGCACGAGAAAACTTCATCCATGTGTCCTCTTAGTACCTGAATTATAAAAAGATAATAAATATAGAGCAAAAATTACATGTAATTCTTTAAAAAATGATATACTCAGGCATAATACAAAAGTATAAAAACAGTCTAATTGATTATTTATAAATGATTTACTCTTCAACACATCAGCTGAATTTTAATCAATATCTGATACTGTAATGATGATAAAATATTTGATTTTAGCTAACCAATACCTGAATGCACTCTCCTGTTTCACTATCCCATAGTCTGGCAGTATTATCTTTTGATCCAGTGAGCAAAACTCCACCTGGAGGGCTAAAGCAGACCTGCAAAATAACAAATTCGTTATGAAATAATTATAAGATATATACTATAATTATACTAAAATAATTAATCTAATATGATACTTTTGGTTTTTAGAACTTCTAATTTTGACTGAAAATCGAGAAGATTTAGCTCCAAAATAGATATAAACATGTAACTATTTTGGAACTATGTCTTATATTTTATAGAAGATATACGTAAGATATAAAAATATCATATTATATATCAAGCCCCGATTTGAAAAATAATATTCGAAAATGTAGTTATAGGTCAGCCGTGGCGTAACTGGTAAGGACGCGAGCTAATACAAACTAGTCCCGGGTTTGATCCCAATCTCGGTACAGCTCGATATCAAACGGTATAATATCAAATTTTCATTTGAGTTTATATAGTAATCAAATCTAATATAATATAATTTCAAGTAAAAATCTCGCAGACATCCCTGATCACATACCAATCAACACTATTAGATACACATATCTAATAAGCCAACAACAGGGTTGCCTCTCGAAGAAACAGATTAGGAATCAGATCGAAGAATCACGTAGTAGAAGCAGTAATGTAATTATATATTTATATAACTAGGATGGTCCTTAATATGGACATTTTCGAATTTCATTCCTCCCAAGGACTTAAATGGTTCCAAATTGATAAAAAACAATTCTCTGAAAGTTTTAGCTCTTAATATTAACTTTTAGATAGTGCGCAATTCAATCAAACTTTGTATGGAAATAGCATGAAAAAAAATTTTTTAGGTATAATTTAGCGACAAATGAATTAAAAGTGAAAATTCGTATAACTTTTTATTGAAAATTCGACGCTCTGCAAAATTTTGCGCTCTATCTAAAAGACAATATTAAGAGCTAAAACTTTCAGAGAATTGTTTTTTATCAATTTGGAACCATTTGACCCCTAGCGAGCAAAGAAATTTGAATGTCCATATTAAGGACCACGCTAATATATATATATATATATATATATATATATATATATATATATAAAGAATAATCATATAATTAATATTATTATAACCGTGTTCACTTCATCCGTATGACCAGTCATTGCCGCTAGTAAACTAAAATCTCCATGGACATCCCAAACTCTCGAAGTGCAGTCACTACTTGCAGTTGCTAAGCGTCTTCCTCTGCCATCGAAGGCTATATTGAGCACCTGAATTCAAAAAACACAAAAATATAATATATTTCAAAAATCGGCATGGTTTCCAAATGAAATTTGTTAATATTGTTATATTGTAATTCTTTATTTCTTTATTTCTCTATTTTTTCATTTTTGCATTTTTATTGCTAAAAACTTTACTAATTCAAAATGCCACAATTTGTTGTAAGTACGTGTTATTTAAAAAAAATCAAAATAACAATTTGTTAAATTCAAGAAAAGAAAATTATTTATTTTGAGAACAATTTTAAGACGATTATGAAAATATTACACTTCGAAGATATTACATGTAAAATATATACATGCAAAAAAATTATGGTGGCTACAAAGAAAATATGATTGCAATTGAGAAACATAAAAAGCGCAATCGCAAATCAAATAGGTTTCAAAGGATTAACAAAAGAGCAAATAAAAGTGATTAACTGCAAGCTGCAAAATATAATAAAAATGTAGGTCCGATGCAGCACCACCTCGTGCTGATGTCCAGAAATCGTTGCCAAACAATTCATGGTACGCGTCTCCCAAATGCGAGCAGATTTATCCATTGATGAACTAGCAATCAGCGTACCATCGTAGTTATATAGGCAATTGCTTATTTCTGCCTCGTGGCCCAGCAACACTCCGCAACGGCTACAATAGAGAACTAGCTGTAAGTGGAATTCTGTCTTAAGGCAATTAGGGCATCGTGCCTTAAGGCAAATTGCTGGAACTTCCCGTACCAAAAATTATTATTTTTTTTTAAAACGATTAACATTTTTGAAAAAAATTTACTTCGAAAAAATTAGATCTTTGAGAAACTATAAATTTGACAAAAAATTACTTTTTTTGAAAAAAAAAAATCTTTATTGAAAAAAAAAATGTTTTCTTCATTTTGACATATTTTGGAAATCTTGAACATTTTTTCAAAGCAATCGTACTGCTTTAACAGCATAGAGACGACATGTCAAAGCGCCGCGTCGCCGTCTAACGGATGAACATTGGTACGGAACCCATAGGAATGTAAACAAAATTTATACTTATTGTTAAAATCTCTATAAAATATGTGATAATTAGATGTTCATATGTCTAATAATCATTTTTGACCGCCAAATGGCATTTTTTTTTACTTTTTTCTTTAGATCTCCGAAACCGCTAGACCTGCCTTCATGAAAATTCGTCATCTTGTCAATACAAGTAAAATGTTTTTTGAATTATTCAAATCGGTTCTCTTAAAAACTGAGTTACCGTTTTCGGCACTTTTTGCCCCGTATCTTCGGAACGGCTGGACCCGCCTTCGCCAAAAACTAATCAGCACGTCTCCTTATCAATACAAATCGAATGTTTTTTAAATTATTCAAATCGCTTCATTCGTGTTCCCGAAACCGTCGACGAAAATTTGTATCCGCACACACACACATACACACAGACACACACACATACATCTATTTTTTCTAAGGTTGCCAAAATACTTAGAAACCTTTGAAACATAAAGATATATAAAAATTTTCATTTTCGATTTTTTTGCGATTACTATAACTTGCCCTACGGGAAGTTAACAATGTCTGTGTAAATGTAAAACTAGTGGGCATGGCATCGTGCCTTTAGGCCAATTGCAGGAACTTTCCGTACCAAAAGTTTACATTTTTAAAAATGCCTTTAATTTTATTGAAAACTTTGAAAAAATTAAATTTTTGAATTTAAAAAAAAAAAAGATTTCTTTTACATCTTGATATTCTTTAAAAATTTGGAACTTTTTTGAACTTGTGATTGCACTGTGCAGCTATTTTAGAGAAGAAATATCCAAGCGCGTGAGCGCCTTGCCGCATATTATCGGATAAATGTTGGTACGGATGCCATAGAAATGTATACAAGATATAAACTTGTTATTAAAGTTTATAAATATCTGATAATTTGATTTTCATATATTTAATGATCATTTTTGACCACCAAGTGACATTTTTAATAACTTTCTTTATTACACATCTCCGACGATCGAGCCTAGGCCGCTGGACCTGCCTACTCAAAAACTTAATCAGTTCTCCATTTTGTCAATGCAAGTAAAATGTTTTATAAATCATTCAGATCGGAAGCTCCGTTCTCTCAAAAACTGAATTGCCACTTTGGCACGTTTTGCCCCATAACCGTTGGACCTACCTCGACCAAAAACTAATCAGCACGTCTTCTCGTCAATATGAATCGTATTATTTTTTATATCTTTCAAATCGGTTGATCCGAGCTCTCGAAATCATCGACTAAAAATTGTATCCACATACGAACACACACGCACACACACGCTCACATACATCAATTTTTTTAAGGTATTCCAAAATGTTCAAAAACCTTTGAAACGTAAAGATATTTTTGCGATTACTATAACTAACCCTACTACAAGTTAACTCGTATATAATTAGTGGTTTACTTGTTTTATATTTAGAATAAATTTATGCGGAGAGAAAGTCCTAGTCAATAAAATGATAGGTTGTTGAAGCTGTTAAGTGTCGCAATTTATGAAAATACTATAAAACTAGCTGTAAGTGGAATTCTGTCTTAAGGCAATTAGGGCATCGTGCCTTAAGGCAAATTGCTGGAACTTCCCGTACCAAAAATTATTATTTTTTCAAAAACGATTAACATGTTTGAAAAAATTTTACTTCGAAAAAAATAGATTTTTGAGAAACTATAAATTTGACAAAAAAATACTTTTTTTTGAAAAAAAAAATTTTTTTAATTGAAAAAAAAAATTTTTTTTTAGAAAAAAATTTTTTTTTTGAAAACAAAAAATTTTTTTGAAAAAAAATTTTTTCTTCATTTTGACATATTTTGAAAATTCTGAACTTTTTTTCAAAGCAATCGCACTGCTTGAACTGCATAGAGACGAAATGTCAAAGCTCGCAGGTGCCGCGCCGCCGTCTAACGCATAAGCATTGGTACGGAACCCACAGAAATGTAAAAAAAAATCATACTTATTGTTAAAATCTCTATAAAATATCTGACAATTTGATGTGCATATGTCTAATGATCATTTTTAACCGCCGAATGGCATTTTTTTTTACTTTTTTTATTAGATTTCCGAAACCGCTAGACCTGCCTCCATGAAAATTTGATCAGTTCTACATCTTGTCAATACAAGTAAAATGTTTTTTGAATTATTCAAATCGGACGCTCCGTTCTCTTAAAAATGGAGGTACCGTTTTTGGCACTTTTTGCCCCGTATCTTCGGAACGGCTGGACCTGCCTTCGCCAAAAACTAATCAGCACGTCTCCTTATCAATACGAATCGAATGTTTTTTGAATTATTCAAATCGGTTGATCCGTGTTCCCGAAATCGTCGACGAAAATTTGTATCCGCACATACATACACACACGTACATACATACATACATACATACATACATACATACACACACACACACACACACACACACACATACATCCATTTTTTCTAAGGTATACCAAAATGTTCAGAAACCTCTGAAACGTAAAGATATATAAAAATTTTCATTTTCGATTTTTTTGCGATTACTATAACTTGCCCTACGGGAAGTTAAAAAAATCGAATTAAAACTAGTATTTTTAATTTAGGCGGAGATATCGATAATATTATCTCACTCGTTCTTAATCTCTTAAATCGGCGCTTAAGATTTGTAACTTCCAATTTGAAATACATTTTCAAAAAAATATTACGATCTATTGTTGCTAGATAATAAATAATAATAAAAAAATCATCTTAAGCATTTTTATCTACTAACAGCAAGTCCTTACGTTAATAAGAACATAATTATCAACAGAATTTAGGGAAAGTTGATGAGCAAAATTATTGTACCATGTTCAATCTATTGGCTTCAAGACCACTTAAAGAATACTGCAAGTGATTGCGGGGTTGTAATGCTATGATTTGAATCTCAAAATAGTCATTTTTAGTTTTTACCTGGCTACTAATTTTTTTTTAATACGATGTTTTGAATGCTTTAATATAACAATGTAAAAAGCTAAGATAAAATACTTACTTACAACATTTAAATACGATTTTGACACTTTGGCATTTCGAGTTGTTGATGACTTTTTCGCTTAATAATTACATTGAACACTGGCATTATTGCTTTCGAAGGTCTACATATATGGTGCGATATATATATATATATATATATATATATATATATACAATAATTAATTCAAATTATTACTCTTTGACACGAGGATCCCATAAGCTCACAGTTCCATCAAAAGATCCAGTTATCATCCGTTCTCCGTCCTTGCTAAATTTCAGAGCTATTATTTCAGCACTGTGACCACAAAATGTGCGTATTTCTTGACCTAAATTTATAAATACAATGATCATCACGAGGTATTATAATTAGTTTTAGACCATACAAAATTTAAAAAATAAAAAATTATGCTTAAATTCTTCGAATGTATAATATGTTTCGGTTTAAAATTTCCTTCCATTGAAGATTTCAATTTGAGTTTTTTTGATTAATCTTATTTCAGAACTGAAAATCAAATTACGAAACAAATTTTTGATTTTTATCCAGTATTCGCAAAAGTTGAGTAGTTGAGAAAGTCGTTGAAAACGATAAACTATTAGAAGAGAAAAGCATTAAATTTGAGACTACTGTTTCATTTTATGAGTAAATATTTTTGAAATTGTTAAAACACAAAACTCATACATATTTAAAAAGTGTAAATATTGATATTGATAAGGGATCGTTCAAGTATTACGTAAGATTTATTACAATTTATTACAATTATTTACCCCCCACCCCCTTTGTCAGCAAAAGTAAGCAAAGCTCTTACCCTCTACCCCCATGCTTACGTAAACATTTTGCAATTAATGTATTGTTTTTTTTAATATTGTAATTAGGTTATAATTATAACTTTAAAAATAAGAAAATAGGTTTAGGATGTAGAGATTTTACTGATATCGTATTGAACATAGAGTAACAAAATTATTATAATCTTACGAACATAATAAACTTATTTTAAATTTTTGATACTGGCAAAGACAAAGTAAGGTTGCCATTCGGTAAAAAAAAATAAAAATACTACCTATGACCTAATCATCATCCAGACTCCCCTGCCCCCCATGTCAACTCAAAATAAGCAAATCCATAACCCCCCAACCCCCTATAGTGCTTACGTAATACTTGAACGGCCCCTAATTTGATGGCTCAACATATTTGAATGAATTCCGAAACTGTTTGAAATAGATCAGCATTTAAAAATTGGATATATAGATATTTCGGATAAAAAAATTATATAGTGTAGGTATGTACATCGTACTGATTAGCTTGTTCAAACGAGATCGATTCCTTTTTTAAACAAAATTTTTCTTAAATTCAAATGATTAAAAATAAAAGAATATCTATGATAGTAATGATTACATTCAATTACCATAATCAAACTCGTACTCTTTGGAAATATAATGAAATTTGGTTACAATACCTGTGGCCAAATGATACAGCCGTGCCGTGCCATCTAAAGAAGCCGTAGCAGCCACACCTGAGTCTCGTTGGGGACTGAACTCCGAGCATACAACTTCAGCGCTGTGTCCCCAAAATATAGCGTCGCATGCGCCTGTACGCAGGTTCCAAAGACGTGCTGTCTTGTCAAAGGACCCCGTCAATGCTCTATTACTGCAAATAACGTACTAGCTGTAAGTGGAATTATGTCTTAAGGCAATTAAGGCATCGTGCCTTAAGGCAAATTGCTGGAACTTCCCGTACCAAAAATTATTATTTTTTTAAAAGCGATTAACATTTTTGAAAAAATGTTACTTCGAATAAATTAGATTTTTTAAAACAAAAAAAAAAAATGTTTGAAAAAAAAAGTTTTCTTTATTTTGACATAGTTTGGAAATTCTGAACTTTTTTTCAAAGCAATCGTACTACTTTAACTACATAGAGACGATATGTCAAAGCGCGTAAGCGCCGCGTCGCCGTCTAACGGATAAACATTGGTACGAAACCCATAGGAATGTAAACAAAATTCATACTTAATGTAAAAATCTCTATAAAATATCTGATAATTTGATGTGCATATGTCTAATGATCATTTTTGACCGCCAAATGGCTTTTTGTTTTACTTTTTTCATTAGATCTCCAAAACCGCTAGATCTGCCTTCATGATAAAATCTTGATACAAGTTGTTTTTTCGGACGCTCCGTTTTTGTGTTAACGTTTTTGGCACTTTTTGCCCCGTATCTTCGGAACGGCTAGAGCTGCCTCCACCAAAAACTAATCAGCACGTCTCCTTATCAGTACGAATCGAATGTTTTTTAAATTATTGAAATCGGTTGATCGGTGTTCTCGAAATCGTCGACGAAAATTTGTATCCGAACACACATACACACGCACGCACACACACATACATCCATTTTTTCTAAGGTATGCCAAAATGTTCAGAAACCTCTGAAACGTAAAGATATATAAAAATTTTCATTTTCGATTTTTTTGCGTTTACTATAACTTACCCTACGAGAAGTTAAAAAATAAAATAAGTAGATGTATTGTAGAAGATGTTTTTAATATTTTAATAAATATTTACCAATCTGGGTATTGAAATGCTACGGAGAAAACAACATTCTTATGACCTTCGAGTGAAATTATTTCTTCTCCAGTTTCTACATCCCATACCTTGCATGTTCTGTCGTAACTCCCGGACAAGCATCTGCAAATAAAAATGTCAACATTACAAGGTTTATGTTCCATAAATGTCTCATTGCTTATGCACATTTTTATGCATTCCGTTTAATTTATAAATCATTTTGACATAATAAAAATTCTGAAAGTAAAAGAATCAATGACAAGAAGTATAGAGTATCTTATAAAATAAATGTATAACTATATAAAGAGTAGGGCGGGGCACAAAAGTCCAATTTGACTATGAGCAATTATATTGTGATGACGTAAAACAATTATATGACAACAATTAACACATATCAAATAACTAACTATCTTACTAGGTGTAGTAAAACATAAAAAGTAAAACTTCCAGCTAATTCATCATTGTAGAAATAGTTTTTTAAAGACTTCTTGCCTGGTCCTTCTTACCCCATAGGCGGGGTAATATAGAACAGCCATTAGGTTCAATGTCTCATTTTTCATTAAAAGGATTTTACATTATTCATCCAATGCAAAATATAAAATTTATTGATACATTTTTACAGAGATAACACTGTATATAACCATTATTTGGTATTTCGCCACCAAAGTTGGTTTTCTTAACTTGATTTACTTTTTTTATTGTTTACACCTTTCTGAGGGTAAAAGCTTAGATGGTCCTTTTTACCGGTAAATTTTTATAAAGGTTAAAAAAAAATGTTGAATCTAACTTAAAAATAAAACAGCTCAATCACCTCGATTTTCGACATCGTTAGCGGTAGATAAACGATGTTTGAAACTAGATAACAAATTATATTTTTTTTGTTGTTAGTTTTTTTGGTTAGGAGCACTGTTATTTAGTTTATGAAAGCTTAGCATAATATACATTATACTTGAATTATTTAAGTATCCGTGTTTAAATGTTTTTTAAGTTATAAAACGGTGTATGGCATCGTGCCTTAAGGCAAAATTCTGAAACTTCCTGTATCAAATATTAATTTTTTTTTAAAAACGATAAAAAATTTTTTTTAAACTTTGAAAAAAATTAGGTTTTTGAAAAATTTTAAATTATTGAAAGGTTTTGACTTTTTTTGAAACAAAATGTTTTTTATTTTGAAATATTTTAGATATTTTGAACTTTTTTCAAAGCAATCGCGCTGCATTAGCTGCATAGAGACGAAATATCGAAACGCGTAAACGCCCGATGTCCCGTAAACCATAAAAATGTAAACAACAATTATACGTATTATTTAAATCTTAATAAAATATCTGAAATTTTGATGTGCATATGTCTAATGATCATTTTTGACCGCCAAATGACATTTTTTGTACTTTTTTTACCGGATCTCGGAAACCGCAGGACATGCCTTTCCAAAAATTTAACCAGTTTTTCATCATCTATTCAGTTGTGTTTTTTCATCAACAAAAATAACATGTTTATTTTAATTATTAAAATCGGACGCTCCGTTCTCTTAAAAACTGAGTTACCATTCTTGGCACTTTTTGCCCCGTACTTTCGAAGCGGCTGAATCCGCCTTTGTCAAAAACTAATCGTCTCCTTATCAATAGGAATCGAATGTTTTTGAATAATTGAAATCGTTTGAACCGTGTTCCTGAAATCGTCGACAAAAATTTGTATCCGCACATACATCCATCCCTTTTTTCTAAGATAGGCCTAAATGTTCAGAAAGCTTTGAAACGTAAGATATATATATATATATTTTCATTTTCGATTTTTTTGCGATTACTATAACTTACCCTACGGGAAGTTAATTATGAGTAACAAACTTTGGATGTTTTGCGTCCAATGTGACAAATGACAATTTAAAAAAGTCTATCAAAATATGTACGAATTCAAGAAAAAAGATTAATCGAATACTCAAGAAAATTGATAAATTGAAAATGATATAGTAGTTAGTGATATTATCTAACATTTTGCTGGTTTTCATTTTTGTGGATACACTGTTATAAATAATCTTACTCAAAAATAGCTGTTCACACATGCTTATTTAACTATGTTCACATTTCCTGAAGCGCAATACATTATTATAATTTTAACTTATTTAATTTCATTACAACTTTAATAACCATATAATTTTTCTTGTTTTTAATTTCTTCATTAAAATCTATTCAAATTATGCCCACTATTAAATTATTAAAAAAAACTAAACAAAGTTTTTCAATTTGATATTTACAGTTTTTTCTGACAACGTTGGTACTACTGTTTCTGACAGACAAACTGATACCATCTTAGCCAATGTTAACCCTCTTGTCAATTCAAATGATAAACTTTCAAACACATGAATTGATGCTTCTAGTTCACAGTTTGTTTACATTTAAAGTTTATATGATTTTTTATAGCCCAAATTTTACTTTTTATTTCAAATAATAATATTAATAAATAAGTTAGTTATATTTAGTATCTATCGAGTTGCAGAATGAAGTTTAAAATTACCATGCATTGTTTTTATCATGAAAATTACAAGTAGGTAAATTTAAAATATCAATAATCTTAGTAATAAAAAATGATGCACATACGTGATTTTAATCCGTAATTTTGAAAACTAGATGATTTTAATCAATAGACTATAATTAGAGTCAAAAATTTTACGGAATGATCAAATGTTATAAACAGTTCAAATAAATCTATTTCAATCCATACATAGCTGGCATGATTTCCATCATAATGCTATTCAAACATAGACATTTTTAGATAATGCTAGACATATTTTTAAATGAATTATTATTCATTTTGATTATTTTACATAAGCAGGAAAAGGATGACCATACAGAGGAAATAAAATTACATTTGATTGCTGGAATTATAGAAAAAATGTGACTATTTAAAATAAATAGATTGCAGAAGCCTGCACAATATCTTACACCAGAAGACTACTACGAAGGTGAATTATACAACTGCTAAATTTAACATGTCCTAACTGCATTTGCAATACAGATCCTTAACACACATATCTACTATTTTATTAAAAAAGAATCAAAAAGGTTACAATCATACAGAAAAAAAATACTTAAAATTCCTTTATCCATAAAATAACCAAAAGAATTAAGAATGCCATTTGAAAGTGGAATTGATGAATATTTTTGGTTATAATACTGTAGAAATATCTACAGTATATAAAGATATCTATTTATATTATGAGACCTTGAATACAATTACAAAAGTGATGGAATAATTGAACTTAAAGTTTATTGTGAAAAAAGCTTTTCATGGGCGATAATGTGATGTTCATCACACGAGGAATATGTTTAAAGTAGAAACATGCTATTTATTTTAAATTATGAGAAGAAGAATTATTCAGAGTTTAGAAAGTATTAGATTGATTATTGTTGTATATATCTCTGACCAAAATACCACTAATATCTAAAGTCTGCAAAATACTTAAAAAGAGATAATAATTATTTATCATGTCATAGATTGAATACATACATACATGATTGGGAAGTTAAAGGAAATCCTTTTTGTTGATGTGTTACATTATTTAAAATACATAAGAAACAATTTTTTAGGAGTGGATGATATTAAAATAAAAGAGTAAAAAAAAGACTGCATTTTAGGTGGTCACATATAATATTTATAATGTTGGTGAAGTAATTTTATGGAAGCTAAAACACGCGTGTAAGACAAATGTCTTACAAAGAAAATAAAAGAAAAAGTGCTGCATTTTTTAATCAGTTAATAAAGTATATATTTAAATATTGCTGTTCTGTTTTTTTATAAAGTCCGTTTTAGTTGTTTTTTGTTGTACATTTCACATTTGTTTTAAAAATTGTGGTTATATATCTCTACACTTTTTTTAATGTACAATGTCATCAAAAATAAAACTGAAACGAGTTGCATTACGAAAAAAAACTGTGTTGCCGCTTAGAGTGAAAATAGAAATACTTGATCGTTTACGCCAAGGAGAATCATTTGCATCCATATCACGCTCATTCAAAATCAACGAATCAACTGTACGATCAATAAAAAAATCAGAAAGTAAAATAAGGTCTTCTATTGCTTCAACTTCACTGTCATCAAAAATTGTTCGTGATCCAGCAATAGAAAAAATGGAAGTAGCGTTGTCATTATGGATTCAAGACTGCAACCAAAAAATGGTGCCTCTAAATGGGCCAATGGTCCGGGAAAAGGCAAAGTATCTCTACACTAATTTTAAAGAACCTGATGGTAGTGGTGAATATACAGATGGAGGATTTCAAGCATCGGAAGGTTGGTTCAATAAATTTAAGGCGAGACAATCATTGCATAACGTTAAACTTGTTGAAGAAGCTGCATTTGCAGATCGTCCTTCACCAGAACAATATTCTGAACAATTTGCAAACCTAGTAGCTGAAGGAGGATACAAACCTGAACAAGTATTCAATGTACATAAAATTGAACTGTTCTGGAAGAGAATGCCAAAGAAAACATTTATTTATAAAAGCGAAAAATCTGCTTCTGGATTTAAGGCAGCAAAGGATAGAGTTACTCTGTTGTTATGCTCTAATGCTTCTGGAGATTGTGTCATCAAGCCACTGATGCTTTATAGCTTACTTAATCCTCAGGCTTTAATAAATCAAAACAAGAATAACTTGCCAGTGTTTTGGCGTGCTAATAAGAAAGGGTGTATTACAAGTGCTATTTTTTGTGATTGGTTCCGTACTTGTTTTGTTTCTGAAGTTAAAACTTATTTAAAAAAACAGAATTTATATTTTAAAGCACTTCTTGTTTTGGACGATGAACCAGCTCATTCTCGCAAACTTGAAATTATGCATCCAAGTATAAAAGTCACATTTTTACCACCCAGCATAACGGCTGTGCTTGAACCTATGAACCAAGGGATAATCCAAGTATTTAAGCTCTATTATATGAGACAAACTTTCAAAATTCTTTTGAATAATATGGAATATAATCCTGATCTGGATCTTATGGAAAGCTGGAGGAAATTTGACATAGCAAAATGCATTGTTAACATAAAAGAATCATTGGATGAACTGGACCCACATACATTGAAGTCATGCTGGAATAAACTGTGGCCTGTTGTGACAACAGAAAATGATGAATCTGTGCAAGTTCAAAATTTGATGGCCAATATAGTTGAAATAGCAAATGAAATAGGACGAGATGGGTTCGAACTGATAGAATTAAGTGATATTCAGGAATTACTTGAAACACAAGATGAAGCTTTGACCGAAACTGACGTACAGCTCATTGAAGAAGAGACTCCAACAGGTACTGATATAGCAACATTTAATTTGCAAAATCTTAGTAAAGGTTTAAGAATGGCAAATGAGCTTTGTGAGTTCTTTGTGAACATTGATCCATCTATGGAACGGAGTCTCATTTTTAAGAAGCAAATTGCTAATGCAACTGCTTTGTATCATTCTGAATTGAAAGAACTTTTACAAACTGTCAAGCAAGATAAAATTACGAAGTTCTTTAAACCATTGCCTAAGCCCTAAAATAATTAATTACAATGTTTAAAAACTTCAATGAATTTGATTGGTTTTATTAGAGATTTTTATTGAGTCACCTAGAAACTTATACCATACAATTTTATATAAATACCATTCTATAACATACCGCTCGCGAAAATGTATAAATGTATAGTATGCAACATCACTTTTGATTGTTATTTTATATATAATAAAAGAATTTTATTAAGATTAATGTTTTTCTTTTAAACATTATGATATATTATTTTCTTACCCGCAGGTATGTAAGTTGTATATACATATATGTAAATAGGGCATTTCAAATCGGCAGAAAAAAACATTATAGACTCAACCACACTTCTTTAGGGCGCAGAGTTACATATACTGAAACCTGTTCTTGTTACCACAACCAACTTAAGTAATTGTCATTGCTATAAAACTAAACATTTGGATGTTTTTTTTTTGCCATTGGTATAGAAACAATTCATTATTATCCTTATTATTGAAGTAATTTATAATTCTCACACACATTCTAATCTGTCCCGGATTTCATGCAAAAAATATGGTCACCTCTGTATGCAAGTTATTTGTTCACTGTTGTGATTAACGCGATATTTTATAATAATTTGTGTATTTGTTATTATTCGTGATATATAAGCCAAATAAGGATTCGAAACGTATGTAAAATTTATTAGCTATTTTTTGGAAACCTTGGTTTTTTGCTATTTTTTGAAATCTGTAACCTGGTTCTTTTTACCCCATAGGTGGGGTAAATTTGGATGGCCATTGGGCAAACAGGTCAAACGTCTTATTTTAATTTTGAAGAATTTTCACAAAATATTACCTACTAGCTATTCAACCAATGCAAAAAATTAATTTTATGGGTGCATTTTTTACAGATATCACACTATAAAATCTGTTATAGGTCTGCTGTTAATATTCATCAGCAGAGTTGAAGTAACTATTTATTTACATTATCTCTTGTATAATTTCGTTTTTTAACTTTTTTTATTTGCATTTTTTTATTTTTACATCTTCGCTAGGAAAAATAGTTGGTCCTTTTTACTTTATAGAGGTTATATAAAAAAACGGTTGAATCTTAATTATAATTAACAACACATCTTGTAAAACAATTAAGTAACCTATACTTAAAAAATATATTAAGGTCTCGTAAACTAAGCCACAGTGCTCACAACCAAAACAAACTAGCTGTAAGTGGAATTCTGTCTTAAGGCAATTAGGGCATCGTGCCTTAAGGCAAATTGCTGAAACTTCCCGTACCAAAAATTATTATTTTTTTTAAAAACGATTAACATTTTTGAAAAAAATTTACTTCGAAAAAATAAGATTTTTGAGAAACTATAAATTGGACAAAAAATTACTTTTTTTTGAAAAAAAAAAAAATTTTTTTTAAAATTTTTTTTTAAAAAAAAAATTTTTTTAATTTTTTTTTTTTTGAAAAAAATGTTTTCTTTATTTTGACATATTTTGGAAGATCTGAACTTGTTTTTCAAAGCAATCGTACTGCTTTAACTGCATAGAGACAAAATATAAAGCGCGTAAGCGCGGCGTCGCTGTCTAACGGGTAAACATTGGTACGGAACCTATAGAAAAATAAACAAAATTTAAACTTATTGTTAAAATCTCTATAAAATATCTGAAAATTTGATGTGCATATGTCTAATGATCATTTTTGACCGCCAAATGGCATTTTTTTTTACTTTTTTCGTTAGATCTCCGAAACCGCTAGACCTGCCTTTATGAAAATTTGATCAATTTTTTATCTTGTCAATACAAGTAAAATGTTTTTTGAATTATTAAAATCGGACGCTCCGTTCTCTAAAAACCTGAGTTACCGTTTTCGGCACTTTTTGCCCCGTATCTCCGGAACGGCTAGACCTGCCTTCGCCAAAAACTAATCAGCACGTCTCCTTATCAATACGAATCGAATGTTTTTTGATTTATTCAAATCGGTTGATCCGTGTTCCCGAAATCGTCGACGAAAATTTGTATCCGCACATACATACACACACATACATACATACATACACACACACACACACACATACACACACACACACAACACACATACATCCATTTTTTCTAAGGTATGCCAAAATGTTCAGAAACCTCTGAAACGTAAAGATATATAAAAATTTTCATTTTCGATTTTTTTGCGATTACTATAACTTACCCTACGGGAAGTTAATAAAAACGAAAGATAATACTTTTGTTGTGGATTTTCAAACATTGTCGTTTTTGTTCCGATAGCAACGTCGTAAGAATCAAGGTAATGGCTTGTTGTACATCTTTTATCCTCTACTTTCAAATATTGTTGTTGAGAAATTCGTAACTTTACTGGTTTTTGAAATATCGGTGGTGATATTAATATTTCAATTTTTTTTAATATAATTATATTAGAATATGTCAAAATTTTCAAATTTCATTGTAATTATTCCAAATTTTTGTTCTTGGGCCTTCTAACCCAAGATTTAAGGAGTATGCCCCTGGATCGTCGAGTATATTGGGGAAATATTAACAATCAAAATGACATATGGGCACTTAAATAAAAAGAGCCTTACCTTTCTCCGGACTTATCAAATGCAACATTTGTGATTGGCAATGCATGAGATCGTAATGATTTGTATTTATAATATTTGTGATCAACGCTTTCCAAACAGCGATCTTTCAGCCTTTGCAGTATTTCTTCCAGTTCCGATTGGACGTCACCATATAGCAGCTTATGTTCCTTATTTATACGATACGCCAATAGTTTAATGTCGGTACTGTAATACTGCACATTATAGAATTAACGTTGAAATTGAAATATAATCGTTCATTTAATTCATTATAATACTTGCTTATGTGTCAAATCCAGAAGATCGATCATTTTAATGTGAGTCTCGCCCGTTTTCTTGTATTCAAATCCAAGTCCTACGTAAGATTAGATTAATTTAATTAATATCATTATAAAATTACTGTAGTAATATATAATCAAATTAGCAAACCTGGTGGAAAATATCTCAGAAGAAATCTCAAAAGGCGCATTTCAGAACTGTCAATACCCATTTTGTTTTCACCGACATCGTAATTGATCTAATAAAATTTAGTTGCGTAGTAACTACGGATGCGCTTATATATTCTATTATATATCCTAGACAATATACTTATAGTTAAAATACTTTTATATGCTAAATTCTTATTACCATTTATTTGGTAATTCTTACAAAACAAGATTGAAAGAAGTGTTGAAGTTGAAAGGAATGGTAAATTTTGGTTTTGCTACAGTAAACCTAAATTATTAAAAGTGCGTTACAAGTTAAAACCAAATTAAATGGCACTCATTTTTTGTAACGATAATTTTAACTTTTTTTTTTTAAGTTTTTCATTCTATTCACAAGTTTGAAATACTTGCATATTGCATCTTTTAGGGCATTTTTTATGAACTGCTGTTTCGATATCATTTCTCATCATCATAAAATATTTGCTAAACAAATATAACCTTAAAAATATTTACTATTTTTACTTAAGAATATTTCGAAATTATTTAATTAAGTCAATTGGTAGAAATATTTGATTTAATAAAAATAAAGTAAACTTAAAAATTCAAATATTTTTGAACAAAGTCTTTTGGTTTTTTTGCGAGGGGTAGGTCCTGTCGTTCCGGAAATACGAAAAAAAAAGTGTAAAGAATGGTAATTTCGTTTTAATTTCGACTTTAATGATTAATTACTTTTTGCGTATTGGATCCAAGTACATTAAGTAGTAATTGGTCAAGGCAGGCCAGCGTGGTAAAAAAGTAAAACTATTTAATGATCAAATTAGCCGTATAAGGTATCGTGCATTTAAGAAAAACAAAATGATCGAGGAAAAGAACAGTTTCATAAAATATACAGAGTGAATTAATATCACAAATAGAATTATAAAACGCTGAATTTTTGAAAGTAATTAAATATATTTTGATACTTGAAACATTTCAGAAAAAAATCAAATTTGGAACGAGTTTTTTCTGCAGACATATGCAAGATTGGTTTTTATTTTTTATACCTAGCAAAAAAGCAGAGCTAAACAGTGCTGCTACCGTTAATTTTCTAGATTGTTCGACAACTTTCTAAATTCATTCTAGAAAATGTTTACTTATTTATCATATGCTATTGGCAAACTTCGTTATAAATATGCATTTGATTCTAAACATTTTACGGTTGATATTCAACCTTCATTGCACTTAATAAAAGATCAAAATATTATTACTTATATTTTTTACAATATCGTCCGTACAGTAGTATAATCTATTAAATCGAGCAGCCATTGTCATTTTTAGCAAAATTCAAATAGTTAACATTTATGAAAAGATACAAGTTCATTATGTAATGACGAAAATTATTGAACAATAAAAATTAATTACATCAAGGATTATTCCAAATTTTATACAGTAGAGCTGCTTTCTAAATCTCAATGTTTCTAGGATTTTTTAAATTTTAAATTATATTATGCAATATAAACTATGTAGACACATTAACTGGTGTAAATATTATGAATTGATTTTTAGTGGAACTGGTAGATTTCTGAATTGCGATGGAGGGTTTTTTTTGATTTTATATCATTCCATCTTGATTTCCCTGATTCATATGCGTGATGTTAAGAGATTCGCTCATTTGTGGCTGATTATACCACATCTGTCCAGCATCATATTGTCCATTTGTATCCATCACGCATATCTTTGCTTCATTTGAAAAATCAGGCGCTGTACCATTTGAATTGGATTCTGCATTTGGCAATGCTAAATAAACACAATAATTGGCATAATTTTGATTGCATTAAAATCTATTTTTAGTTTATGCTAGTGTTTGTATGAATGTACGAGTAAATGAATTTTTATTGATGAGATGAAATATATTATTAAGTCCTTATAGTAGAAATGATTGAAATAGATAAAAATTGATATTAATATTTTGGAATTAACATTTTAGACATGATATATAACAATTACCAAAGATTCTACATTTTTTAAAAAAAAGATCTATGAAAACGTTTTTGAATTATAAAGACCGGCAAATTGCGCGAATATCCTGATATCCAAAAATAAACTAATAAATAAAAATGTTCAAAGAATTTATCAGAAAAAGTTGTCAACTAAATTGTTTGCTTAACGAGTTCGATTCTGGGCCGATCTCTACTCATCAAGCGAGTTTGCATTGAAATGCATCAACAATATTACATTAAGCAAAAAATAATGTCACATCACGTATATGCAAGAAAGATAGCACTACAAAAGCATAGAGCTTGCAAAAATGTTATTGTACTGACCATAAGCAGTGGCTGTTGATGGCGTATCGCAGTAAATCGACGGAGTACTGGTATTCCTGGTTGAATCCAATTGATTCGCATAGAATTGCGACAAAGCGGTATCGCTACGTCCAGCTTGCTGCTGTTCGGTATACTGGTGTTGCGGAGAAACGTAGAGCGTGCCGTGGGCAGCGGATCCGGCTGCTGAGCTGGAGCGTTGAGGCTGCTTGACATTCGAGTAGGCCGTTCGACGAGGAATATTCAGCGACAGGTACTCATCTTGCAAACCATTTCGGCTTTCGGGACGCGTATACCGCCTTCCGGTCTGAAAGCAATTAATAATATAAACGTAGTAATTGCTGCATCACAATGACTCAACAGATTTATACATAAATTAGTGGTGCAAGGCATCGTACCTTAACAAAAATTGCAGGAACTTCCCGTACCCAAAAAATAAATTAATATATGCGTGTATATTTTAAATAATATATAAAATACTCACTTTTGTTAAAGGATCTCCTTGCATATTAGCAGAGTTGACTAATATTCCTCCTACAGCAATAAGTTACAATAAGCTGAATGTACCACATATATTGTTATATATTTAATTTTTTCAACACACTTCCTTAAAAATATATTTACTCTAATTATTATTTAGTATACCGTTTTTTTAATACATCGCAAAACACAATTTTGTGAATATCTATGAACAGTTAATATTAATTTTGAATAAAAATAAACCAATTTTTTTAGTAACTTTTTGGTTACAGAGGATATACCTCACGCCGGGCAATTTTGAAATTTTTGTTTGTCGAACGTTTTGGATTGAGCATTGCACACTAGATACGTATATTTAAAAACAAACGTAATATGTTTAATCTAGTAGTGATGCAAATGTTCCCCAATATAGGAGTATCTAGTAACCCACACCCGTGAACAAAACAACGTACAACCAAACTTTCCAAATTTTAAACTCGACCGAGCGGCAAATCAAAATTTAAAATCGTTTAAATCATCTAAATCGGTAAAATAACTTTTCAAAATTTAAAGTATTAAAACTATAATTACGCGCGTTTCCTATATAATTTTAAAAAAATGTTTTGGAAAAAAAATTAATTTGGAAAATATATTAAGTTAAAAGTTGTCGAACAACTTGAGTGACAAGGCATAACCGGTACATCGTACACCAGAAGATACATACAGAAGCGGAGAAGTCACTTCAAGTCGTTCTACACCGAAACTATGGGCAAACAAAACATGATGTGCAGATTGGAAGATCTTTGCGGTCAAATGGACTGGTATGTCTAATAGTTCACATAGTAATTACTCCGTTTTCATTGATATATTGTTATTGATATATCTTTCAAAAATTTCCACGATTTTATGAATTTTTTTGAAATTTTGCAAAGCTGAACTGTCACTTTTTATTTTCGGTGAGTATGATTTTTTCGTAATCCATATGCGATTTACTTCATGAAATGTGTTTTTAATTTATGTTTCTTTTATTTCATCTAAAAATAATAAAGTTAAAATTAATTGAATAGTATTTCAAATTGATTTTGTTGTTACTTGTATAAAATATTTTTTATATAATCTACGTTTCTTACAATGCGTACATTATTTTATAATATATTCAGTATTATTAGAAAAACTATCTATATTAATAATTACTCAAAGTTTCAAATGTTGCAAACATAATTCCTTTTCGTAAAAACTCATTTTCGATATTTTGTAATGTTTTCAATGTCATACACCTCCATATATTATTATTGTACAGCAATCCTTGCGGCCAACTGTTATGACAGTTTCGTGCCCTGGACCGCCACCATGCCCGCCGCCGTGCCCACCATGCCCAAGAATGCCTTCATGCGGTGTTCCTCCACCAGCTAGAATACCCGTAAATATTATCATACAAATCATTCAAATATTCATGTAAATTATTATGTAATATCTGAAAGTATCATGAATATTTATCTGAAAGTGATTTAAAAATTTCATCCTTCTATTTGAATTGTAAACAACGACTATTTTCAGGTGTTCCCTCCGCCAGTTCTACCAGCACCTATCTGCCCACCACCAATTTGCCCTCCACCTATTTGTATCAAGGTAAATAAGTTGTAATACGCCTAACTAGTTGAAATAAGTTTACCAATATTAGTTTATTTCAAATTTGTAAAAATTGTCAAGTTAATATATATCGTTTACGAACTAGCTATTTCAAAATTTGCTGAATGAGTAAATTATATGAGTGCACGTGCACACTAGTTTTGAAATCGTTCCGAACATAGTTGTTAAATTGAAATGTATTTATATTGTTATTATTTTTTTAAATATAAACTATATCACTATATAACACCATTCTAAATAAAGTATTTACAAAAGAGGTAATATAAAAATATAAAGAAGTATAATATCTTCTTGATTTGTCAAAAAACAAATAATCATTCAAAGTTAAAGCTATGAGCATGATGCATTTATCCTTAGGTGCAACCACCACCAATTTGCCCGCCGCCAATTTGTATTAAGATTCAGCCACCAGTAGTGTGCCCACCTATCGTTCGACCACCACCGATTTGCCCGCCGCCAGTTTGTGTGACAACGTGCCAACCTCCCGGTATAGTACTGTTTTTAAATAGTAATATAAAATACTAGAAGCATATTCTATCAATATACTTGCAATTTCCATAAGTTTTATTCCAAACAAATATTTCTTAATGTTATCTGCCACCTGCAGCAAGTTAATGTTACATCGTGTCTTTTATCCTCCTAGCATCACAACTAATACTTTATTAATATAATTTATAATTAACCCTCCGTCGGTCGGATATTTTTTCACCTTCGAACGGTCGGAAAGGTCTGGCTGGACCACCATTCATTTTACATGCATTTATATGGGATAAATGAGTTTTTGGTGTCTTATATATATTAACGATTATTGTAGTAAATATTTATAGTTTTGATTTTTTCTTTTTCTTACCGTCTTTTGCATGTGTTAAGCTTGCTTATGATAAAAATATTATATATTATATTATATAAAACAAATCAAGAAATATAAAAAAATCGTTGCTTTTTTTGTCATCAATGTTTTATATCAATGAAAAACCATATTTATTCTTTTTCGGCGCCTTAGAAATGAATGTGAAATTCAAATGAAAACGAAATGAGGTGCATCGCCTTTGAAATGAGCTGTAAAATTCAAAGTGAAAATATAATTTCACTACAGGTTGCAAAAAAAAAAAAAAATCGAACGAAGTACTGGTAAAAAAATTGTTGATATGTGTGCATTACTCATCCGATTTTCAGTGTTTGCGATTACCAATGAGTTTGGTAGGTTTTCAAAGAACTCTCGTCATGAAAATACTAAAATTCATGTTACAACACATAGCAAAGAATATATACAACGCAGTTTGAATAGAAAATACCACGAAAAAAGTCAAAATACTGGTTTACATATATCAACAAGCGATAATTCATACAAAATGTATGGGTGGTCTAGACAGACCTTTCCGACCGTTCGAAGTATAAAAAAGTTAATATCCTTATAATTATCCTTCTGTACATTTTTTCGTCCTGATTTTTTCATTGATCGACAGCTAATGAAATTTTAGGAAAAGTCAAGAAATTTCAAGTCGATAGGATTACTAGAAGTATTTTTTTTAATTGAAGTCGAAAAAAGCCTACCACGCCGACCGACGGAGGGTTAATTATTCAATTCTCAAATGTTTGTCTTTTGAAATTTCCATGCCATAACCGATATATGCTTTCATCGCAGGTTGTTACCCGCCATGTGGTCCTTGCCCGGTCCAGTGCTCGCCATGCGGAGGTCCTTGCGGTCCATGCGTGCCGCTATGCAATACTACGTGCGAACCGTGCCCTCCATGCATGCCCTGCGATCCATGCTGCTCGCCCTGCTATCCCTGCCCCCGCCGAATCCGCCATTCATGCCGTGCCGCCCTGCATGCCGTGCCCGCCGCCGTCGCCGCCACGATGCGTAAATATTACCACCAAATAAAATTTAAACGGTCACACAGTTTTACATATCATAACGTTCAAAATTCATTTGACTTAAGACGTTCGACTGACTTAATATCAATAAACTCATAAGCAACTTGCTAAATATCCCCATTTCAATTAGATATTTTATTTTCTCACAAAACGGAATCTATATGATTTGCAAAAACGCATGAATTGATTTTACGTTCTCGTTAACAGACAAATAATAAGATTTGTTTACATGCATAATATTTTACTTATTCATATTTTTTTTATTATTATAATTTGCATGTTATTTTGTCATATTGTATGTGTTATTGCGTTATCGCTCGTGTTTGTACA